GTCAGTACTGACCTCTAGAAATTGACATAAGGGTACTCACCTCCAAAGGTTTTTGGCAAAAGTAAGTGAAACACCCAGGATAGGAGCCACAGTGTCTAAACCAGATATGGAAGCTTCACTAACCTCCAAACCTCAGATGCCTGGCGCCACAAAGCCAGAGCCTGCCTTCCTGAGCAGGAACCTTCTGGGTTAGGGTCTCAGGCCCCCTGTCTTTAGGCCTGGCTTCCTATGGTGCTCTGGAAATGCCTTCTGGCCGGTCTTTCTAGTCCCAGTTCCCCCAGTCCTCCTCCTCCCTCTCCCTAGGGCCACTCCAGGGCCCCACCTGAGTACCAGTTGCCAGGGACAAGCCTCTCTCTTAAAGGGACACACTGGTGGCCACAAGGGCCACTCCCTCTGGTTGAGATGAAAATTCAGAAAAAGACTGTGGAAGGTATTTGTAAGGAAACTAGTTCACTGCACGTCTAAGGCACAGGTGTGCTATTGCTGTGGACCCAATCTGCAGGAGGCAAAACCCTGTCCTGCCCTGTGAAGCCCTATCCTACAGCTTCTGGATCCCAGCTGTGGGGGTGGGGCCCGGGTATCTGCATTCAATCAGTTCTTAGGAATTCTTGGGCAATGGAACAGGTCTTGGCTGTGAGATATGAGAGACTAATCATGCCACTCCAGCCCCACCCACCGGCTCTACACTCCTGGACCCTGGCAGGGGTCTCAGGTCCCGCCAGTGCCCAGAGTCCCAGGGACCAGATCCGGATGGAGCAGGAGGAACAGGACGGGCAGGAGAACGAGTTGGGCTTCCCTTCCCATGCAGATGATTCTGTTTGCTGTCTGTATCCAACAGAAAACAGGGCCCTTGTTTTGTTCTCTACAGTGTTCCCAGAACTCAGGACAGCATGTAGTGCAATGCATTTGTTTAATGAATGAACCAAACTCTGGCACAGAGCCTGGGGAAAAAAGGCAGATTTTTTTTTTTCTTTTGCCCAGCTTGAATATGGCTCCTCGGCAGGGCACAATTACTGATCCTGTCTTTTTTTTTTTTTTTTTTAAGATTTGTGCATTTAGGGGCACCTGGGTGGCTCAGTGGGTTAAAGCCTCTGCCTTCAGCTCAGGTCATGATCTCAGGGTCCTGGGATCAAGCCCCGCATCGGGCTCTCTGCTCAGCAGGGAGCCTGCTTCCCCCTCTCTCTCTGCCTGCCTCTCTGCCTACTTGTGACTTCTGTCTGTCAAATAAATAAATAAAATCTTAAAAAAAAAAAAAAGATTTGTGCATTTATTTGAGAGAGCACAAGTGGAAAGGAGAGGGAGAGAGAATCTCAAGCAGGCTCTGCGCTCAGCACGATGTCCAGCTTGGGGCTGGATCTGATGGATCCAAGATCATGACCTGACCGGAAACCAAGAGTCAGAGGCACAACCAACTGTGTCACCCAGATACCCCTGTTGATCCTGTCTTTTAAATTTTTTTCTTATATTCTGCTTGTCATGGATTCTTTTGCATTAATTTTGATTTTTAAAAATATTGTTAAAAAATTAAATTGCCATTTATTTTTATATTTATTTTGGTGTTCTCCTAAGTTTTTTGCCTGTGGCATGTCACTCACCTTACCTGTCCATGCTGGTCTCAGCCCAGGGGGCCTGCCAGGTGCTTTGTAAAGCCTTGGACACATCCCTTTTGTTTTTCTACACCAAGTGGAGACAGTGATGAAAGATTGTTAGAAGAAGAGGCCACAGGGCCAAAGCTCCCTGCCAAACCCCCTACCCTAAGAGGAAACCATCCTTAAAAGGATTCTACACCCACCCTGGAAGGAGCCCTCCACCCTTTTCCACATGACAGATAAATGACAAAAACCTGATTGGGTGACAGGCACCGGGAGAATTAATTAGATTAAAACAGCCCGTCATGGGGATGCCTGGGTGGCTCAGTCGGTTAGGGCGCTGCCTTTGGCTCAGGTCATGATCCCAGGGTCCTGGGATCCAGTCCCCCATCTGGCTCCTTGGTCAGCAGGGAACCTGCTTCTGTCTCTGCTTCTGGCTGCCACTCTGCCTGCTTGTTCTCTCTCTCTCTCCCCCCTGGCAAATGGTAAAATCTTAAAACAACAACAACAAACCAGCCCATGAACAAGCCCATGAAAACCCCTAGACTTAAGAAAGTCTGGTGGCAACTCGCTTGGGTCTCCTCCCTCCTTAGGCGCTTTGTACTATCACTCAATAAACTTTGCGTTGCTGCCCACCACTCTCCCTCTGGTCTACGTCTTCATTCTTCAAAGCGGTGTTGACCGAGGACCATGGGCACCAAAGGAAAATAAATCTTGCAACAACAATAGTACCTTCTACAGCTGCTCTGAGAATGAATGAAGATATGCAGTCGAGTGCCCAGTGTGGTGCCTAGCGCACAGTCTAGGGATCAAGAAATAACAGTTACTGTTAATGGAGTTTTGGAATATAGGCGAGGTCGGGAGCCGACAGCCAAGAAAGAGTTCTTGAGATGTCTTTGGTGCAAAAAGGTGATTTTATTAAAGCACGGGCACAGGACCCTTGGGCAGAAAGAGGCGCTACACTAGGGTTGTGAGGGCTGGCTGATTCTCTACTTGGGAGTTGGGGGTAATGAAAAAGGGAGAAAAGGGAGGTGTCCAAAAGGATTTTCATTGCTTAAGAGGACCCTCAGGATACTGGAGTCCTTGCTATTATCAAGCTAAGGTTGTTTTCCCTCTAGTAAAGCATTAACATGAAAATAGTTGGAAGTTTCCTAGAGGAATGTCACACAGATCCTACTGCCCCACTGCTGGGGGTGAGGGGGGGTTTGGGTTGCGGGAAGTCAACTTGTACCTTGTCCTTTAGCTTGCCTGCTACTCCATCACTACTGTCTCACTGTTCATAGTCATAGCAGGTGCCGATTACATCTCCATTATACAGATTAAGAAACAGGTCAGGACAGGTGACCCGTCCAAGTCCTTACAGTTACCAGGGACCAAATTACACTTTTCCTGACTCTGCCTTCCATGATCTTCCCGGGCCACTGCAGCTACGGAGACAAAAATAAAAAAACAAAACCCAACTATCAAAGGATCATGCGCCGAAGTGCCACTCATAGGTGTGTGGATGTGTGTCTTTGTATGACCAAAACTGCCGGGGCTGATCATAGGCGTCAGGGCAAGAATGGCGGGTATGGCAAAGATGCCCATCCAGGCATACGGTCAAGCTGAATGACATCCCCGGGGAGCACAGAGGGAAGCAGGGGTGGGCTGGGCTCTGGCAGTATGGAAGGAAGACCCCCCCACCCCCAAAAAAAGAGTCCTGGAGAAGAGGAAGCTGCAGTCGATGCATTTCTGAGGGGAGAAAAACGTTAAAATTCACCGTGATACCACTCCCAGGGACAGCCTGCTACTTTCCATTTTAATGCTCTTTCCATGTTAAATATTCTACTACGCAGGTTTTATGGCTTCATGGCACTTCATCTCATAAATGGATCATAATTAAGTTAACCAATCCCCAAATTCTCCCTTATTTCCAACAAGTTAAATTGCCCAAAGGTCTGCCCATTTTTAAGACTTTTGATGTCCCATTAGCTGTTTAATCAGGAACGATACCAAGTACATCTGTAGAAATTCTCCTTTGGAGTAGGTCTGCTGTGTGCCGGGTACTATGTGGGCTCTTTTTCATTTATTATTTCTTTGCAGGTGCCACAACAACCGTTCAAAGTAGGTGGTAGTCTTCCCATTTTATAGGTGGAGACACAGAGCCTCAGAGAGGTGAAGTGACTTGTCCAAAGTCACGTAGTGGTGAAGGGGGGAAGAAAACCTAGAACTAACCATAAAGTCAATGTGATGTTAAATAGTCGTGAACAGAAGGGTCCAGGAAGGTTTCCTGAAGGAGGTGGACCATGAACAGGGCCTCATGGGGTGGACACAATGACAGCAGGGGAGTAAGAATCGGCGAAGGCCATCTGGCAAAGTCCAGAGCCTGAGCAAAGGACATCAGGTGATCACTTAAGGCTTGAGATTTGTAGGGCAAAGGCATTAGCAACAGGCCGGTGAGTCACAGATGATGGCAGGCGGGGCGAGTCGGAGACAGCGCAGGTTCTTTGAGACCCGCCCCGCCCTGCCCCGCCCTGCCCCGCCCTGCCCCGCCCTGCACTGCACTGCGGAGTTTGAGGCTCCGCCCCCGTCCAGCCCCTTCTCGACCAGATGCAATCAGAATCTTCCCGCGAAGGAGGGACTCTGGCCCCGCTCCTCTCTTCCGGGTTGTATCACTTCCCGCCGGGCCCCGGCCCAGGCCCCGCCTCCGTTTGGTTTGAAACAGTCCGACCAACCCGCCGCGCTCAGCTCCACCCAAAGCCACGCCCCCTCCCCTCCCGGTGCAGTCAGAACCAGCCTCCCTGAGTCAGCTCAGGCCCCGCCTCTGCCCCGTCCGGGCTGTCCCTCTCCCGCCTAGATCACGCCCTGATCACGCCCCTTCCCGGTTTGGCACCCGCCGGCTGGCCACGTGGCCCCGCCCCTCCCAGGCTCCGCCTGGTCTAGCCTCTTTCCGAAGCGGCTGTGGCGGCCGCATCCCTGGCCTCCGCCGCGCGCGCGGAGTTGCAGCCATGGCCGTCTCCGCTGAGGGCGCCCGCAGGAAGGAGCGAGTCCTCTGCCTGTTTGACGTGGACGGGACCCTGACGCCGGCTCGCCAGGTAAGGCCCCGACGTTCAGCAGCTGCCGTCGGGAGTATCACGCGGACGCTCAGAGGCCGAAAGTGGTGACGCTGGACACCCCAGGACGGAGTGTGGGATGCAGCGGTCCCCGGCCCCTGACGCCCCAGGGCCGCCCGCTGGGAGTGATGCGGCCCCGGCCCCCCATGTCGCAGCCCGCGAGTGTCTGCGCCCACGTTCTGCCCGGGAGCGTCGGAGCGGGTGGGATTCTGGAGGGAGGAGACTGCGAGCGGGGACCTAGCTTCCCTACCCCCCCCCCCCGGCTCAGGCTTCGTCTTGCTGAGGCCTGGTCCCCGGACGCCCCCGCCTCCCCAGCCCGGGCTCCCGCCTCTAGGACGCACCTGTAGCCCGAAACTGGCATCTGAGCCCAGGGTTCTAGACAGGGTTCGGCGCGCACCCGAGCATCAGAGTCGCTATCTAGGGAGAGTCCGGGAGTCGTGAAGCCATCCCACCTGACCTTTCCAGGCCCCGGCCTAGGTCTGATTTCTCAAGCTCCTCTGCCACTTCACCTCCCACCCTCAGTTATGGAAGCAGGTAGGGCTTCTGTACCTCCTCGGAGGAGTTTTGGGCTCCGCCCACCCGGAGGTGAGAGTCACCGGGCCAGGTCTGGTCACTGTGAAGGTGTCGTGGCCCAGGGAGCGTGGGAGTACCACTCTTCTAAAGACTTGTCACTGTGTTGATCCTCCAAATTCTGCCCCGCGCTCAGTGTTTCTAGCTTTGGATCTCACCCTAGATGAGCCCCTAGACCGATTCTCACAGTAGTAAATAGGCAGGCCTCTTTCTGGACAGCCCTGAGGCTATTCCGCCCTCCAGCCGGGCCTTAGGGGACAGCTGGGATCCCCTAGAGCAGGGACCCGTAGGGCTGGGTTGCAAGGCAGAGGCTGATGGGAAGCCAGGTCTTAGCCTCCCCTCTTAGGTCCTAAATGGCACCCCCTTCCCTACCGGAAGACCCTGGATTAGGCTCTGGGAGCACAGGGAGAAGTCAGGCTGCTCTGCCTCCAGTAGCTTCCAGGGTCCTCAGGTATGGGAGAAAGATGACAGTGGAGGGAGGGTGGCAAGGTCTAAGGCACAGCTCCAACCCCTCCCTTTGACCCTTTGCTCTACTGACCCAACAGCCCGTACATGTGTTATTGCTGTCCACCAGTTAATGCCAAGCCCTGTCCTTAGTGCTCTTGAAAGTTAATTACCAGGGAACCCTGCGGACTCAGTCGAAAGATATGTGACTAGATCTGGGGTTCCTAAGTTCTAGCCCACGTGGTATAGAGGTTACTTAAATAAATAAATAAATAAAAGCTAATTTTAAAAAATATTTTATTTATTATTTGATAGAGACACAGCGAGATAGGGAACACAAGCAGGGGGAGTGGGAGAGGGAGAAGCAGGCTCTCTGCTGAGCAGAGAGCCCCATGTGGGGCTCGATCCCAGGACCCTGGGATCATGACCTGAGCTGAAGGCAGACGCTTAACTACTGAGCCACCCAGGCGCTCACCCCCCACCCCGCCTTTTTTTATGAGTAGTGTCATACTGTGTGTGCCTTTCTGCAACTTGCCTTTTTTTTTTTTTTAAAGATTTGTTTATTTATTTGAGAGAGAGAAAGCAGGGGGAGGGGCAGAGAGAGAGAGAGAGAGAGTCTCAGGTAAACTCTGTGCTGAGCTACTTGTTTTGGACAGTTAACAGCATGCCTTAGGGACTTTTGCCTGTTGGAAGCACAGGCCTGCCTTGCTCTGTAACCACAGGGCACCATTTCAGATCAGGTGTTTACCCTTCTCGGGTCGACAAGCTTAGGAGTTGTTTGCAGGTTTTCACTATGATAAACCACACCTCAGTGAACCTCCATATATACCCAGGCAAGAGAAGTGGAAATTCTGGGGGACGGGGTGAATGCATTTTAAGTTCTCTTGCCAAATTGCCCTACAAAGGGGCTGCACCAGTTTACACTCTCAGTGGCAGAATTTGACAAGGTCATTTCCCTATAGGTACTCTCGGCTTTAAATAGCCGGGAACCTGAAAACATGGAGTATAACTCATTAGTTTTCATTTCCTTAGGGAATCTTCATGTGATTAGTTGCCAGTGAATTGCTTGCTTGTTTCCAAGCCATCGGGATGCACTATCTCATTTAATCTTAGCACGGACGGCCTCCAGCTGGTTGCTGCTATGATCCCCATTTTACAGATGGGACAGTCACTAAGGCAAAGAAAGCAAAGCCAGTTGCCCGAGAGCCATCTGCAATTGAGGGACTTGAGCGAGAGTTTGAATCTGTGACGTCTCCTTTTGAGGTCTGGGTTCTAACCTTGAGCTACCTCAGATTCAGATGGAACATGGGCCCCCTTGAGTACTGCATGTGGGTTGAGTGAGGTCCCAGACCTGCTGACAGCCAGAAATCTTGTGCTTTCCCCACTCCCCTGCAGAAAATTGACCCTGAGGTGGCTGCCTTCCTGCAGAAGCTGCGTAGTAGGGTACAGATCGGTGTGGTGGGCGGGTCCGACTACTCTAAGATTGCCGAGCAGCTGGGAGATGGCGACGAAGGTAGGAGGAGCACCCAGAGCCGGCTCCACAGTCCAGATGGGGGTGGGGGTAGTTCGGGAGGTCCCAGGACCCTTGTGCCTTCAAAGACCCAGCCCCGCTTCTGTGGGGCAGAGGGAGTAGAGGAAACAGTCAGATAGCTCCCTCACTAGCTCACAGGGAGCCCCGGTCATGTGCCTGGCACTGTGGCAGGCTTTGGAGAAAGGGCAGGGAACAAAGCAGGCAGAATCTTGCCCTGGAGTAGTTGACATTCTCAGCTCTCTCTGCTGAGTCTCAGGTTTCCTGTTTAAAGTGCACGTAGCAGTAGTGGCTGCCATTACTGAAAATGACCATGTGTTGATTTCTTTTCACTGCATCCTGACAGCCACACTGTAGGGTGGGCACAGTTATCCCACTGAACAGAGGATTCTGAAGTCACCCGGGGAAGTTGTTTTGGCCCCAGAGCATCTGTTCTCAGCTGAGTTCCAGGTCTCAGCACAACTGAGGCACATCCCACCAGCTCATGAACTAGAAAATTTACCTTTTACCTTTTCCCCTACCCCCTTGTGCATCCCATCAGCAAGTCTCTAAATATCTCCCTGAGGACCCACCTCTGCATCTCGAGGGCCCCTCCATTGTCCACGCTCCCTCCTGGCTGTGCTCCCTGAGCCTCTCCTCTTGCCCCCTCCAGCCACTTACTGTGGCAGCCAGAGCTGAAAACTCCTCCATACAGCTCCCCTTGCAGAATAGTGATGGAAACTATAAAACAAGGCGGGAGCCTCAGGACCCTGGGTGCTGTGGGAGCACCCCAGAAATGGCGCCCTCTGCTGGGAAGTCTCTTGAGGCTGCCAGAGGAGGGAGCGGCATCTTGGAGTAGGGAGGGCGATCCAGGCAGAAGGACCTGCGTGCAAAGGCCCAGAGGTGTTGACCGACTTGCTGGCTTGTTTGGAAAAAAAGTTGAAGGTAAAGAGCAGAGAAAAGCAGGTTTCAGATGGAACAAATGGGCTTTGAATGCCAAACCCAAGGAGTGTGAGCTCTCTCTCTCCATTTGGCTCTGGGGGCTTGGTCTCACAGTCTTTCTTTCTTCCCGGCTTCCATGTGCCCTGAAGTCATTGAGAAGTTTGATTATGTGTTTGCCGAGAATGGGACCGTGCAGTATAAGCATGGACGACTGCTCTCCAAGCAGGTCAGTGCCCCTCAGGGCCTCAGCCTGCGACACTTTTCCATAGCGGCACAGCCTCTGGTGCCTCGGTCCCGGGCCGGGGGAGGGCACTGTGCCCGCCGCCCTCAGAGCCCCGCGTTCCTTGCCCAGACCATCCAGAACCATCTTGGAGAGGAGCTGCTGCAGGACTTGATCAACTTCTGTCTGCGCTACATGGCCCTGCTCAGACTGCCCAAGAAGCGGTGAGCCCTCCCAGCCTGCAGCCTGCAGCCTGCCCTGCCACCCCCGCCCCAGGCCTCAGGGAGGACAGGGCCGGGTCTCCCGGATGCCACCGGCAGGCGCTGGGGCCCCAGCTTATCGCTGTGTGGATTCTTGTCCCGGGTGAGGTCTGAGGAGGCCGTGGTCCCAGATGGGGCTGGATTTGAATTCAGGGCTGTCCTTCTCTCTGGCCCCCTGCCCGCCCTCCTGCCCCTGTACCGCCAGCGGAACCTTCATCGAGTTCCGGAACGGCATGCTGAACATCTCGCCCATCGGCCGGAGCTGCACGCTGGAGGAGAGGATCGAGTTCTCCAAGCTGGACAAGGTAGCACCTGCCGCGCAGCCTTGGGCTCGGACCTCGGCCGCTCAGCCTGTCTGAGCCTGTCTCGTCAGCGAGATGGCTCAGCGCGGGGGGCGGCGGTAGTTCTGATTCAGCCAATACCCTCTGGGACACCCATCCCGAGCCATGGTCTAGGCACTCCCATGTCTTTCCTCCGTGGCTGGTTTCCTTCCCTTGGTGACTGGCATCAGCAGCCATCACTTACCTAAGCCAAGGGCATCATTTCTACCTCCCGCCCACGTGGGGGCCAGCCTCTCGAGTGGCCTCAGATCTGTTCACCTGTGTGTCTCCCCCCAGGCAGCTCCCCCCATAACCCCCTGCCAGTCTGTTCTCCAGCGATGCCACTGAGAACCTTCTAAAGCATGTCAGCCCCCCCACGTCCTGCTGACAGTGCTTCCAGCACTCCCCTTGCCGATTGGCAGTGCCCCAGCCCCTCCCCTGGTGCCCTGAGCCCTGAGGGGTCTGCCCAGCCCGCACCCACCCTTTCAGCTTTCTCTCTGTGCATCTGTTCTTAGAACATACCGATATTTCTCTTGCCTTCCGGTACGCGCGCCCCTGCTAAACCTTGACTTGCATTTTGTGTGTCATCCGTACCGCCCACCCCATCTTTTCAGGAGTAAGGCCATCCAAGCCTCTTGCCACTGGCCCATCTCTGGCCTTCTCTGGCCTTTGCTGTCTCTGCTCCAACCACATCCTCCTTGTTGATTCTAGAGATAGCAGGTGGAGATGGAGACAGCTTCAGGGCTGTGCTTTTCCTCTCCCTCATCCCTTCCCCCTCTGCTCAGGTGTCCCTTTCTCATTCCATCTAACCTGGCACCCCTGCCCCTGCTCCTTTCCTGTCCTGCTTCTCCCCAGGCAGCCATCGCCACCCTCTAGTACACTCTCTCACCTACTTTCCAAATCTCGGTTACTGTCTCTCTCCCCCGCGGAAGCTGTAAGCTCCTTAAGGGCCAGCTTGTCACGTGCCCAACACATAGCAAGTGCTCGAGAAATATTTTCTGAATGAGTGAAACAGGTGGTGGTGTCCCATTTTATGAATGAGGAAACTGAGGCTCAGAGAGGGGAAATGACTTGCCAAGGTCCCATAGGGAATGGGTGAGGTTTCCTTGAGGGTGGGTGGGACTCTCAGGGATGCTCACTGACCCCCACCTCTAATCCCAGTCCATGTCCCAAGACTTAGGGGAGGCACTGCCCACGGGCACGGAGACTTTTCCTTTTGGGGTGGTGAAGACTGACCATTGGCAGAGAACCCCTCCCACTCACATACTGAGAGGTGGCCCCTACTCAGGCCGAGCAGCCGGGGGCTTTGCTAGCTACCGTGTGCCTCTGTTTGCACATCTGTAAATGGGGGTGAGCACAGTTCCCATCCCATGGGCTGTACTGACTGGGCGAGTTGGAAGTCTGGCACACACTGACCCTTCCAGCAGCTTCCAGAGTCTTTTCTTATCTCTCTGGCTCTTGTTCTCCCCCTTCCAGTCTGAGGGGAAGGCACAGACTCCCTGGCCTGTGTGACCTACACCAGCCAGGATCCCATTTATTTTCTTCTTTTCTTCTTCTTCAGTCCTTCAGATCCCAAGAGCAGGTAGCCCCTTTCCTTAGACGAGGACACGGAGGCCATAGGCTGACTAGCTCAGTATCACAGTGCTGGTCCTTGCTAAGGCTAGACTTGACACACAGGGCTCGTTCTCCAGAGACAGGAAGTACACCCATCCTGGGTTGCCTGGGGCCCCGTTAACTCTTAACTGTGGGCCCACAGAGTGGCCTCTGGTGGGGACTCTGGCCTCCCTGGGGGACCATTTGCCTGCTGGGAAGGTAAGGCCACAGTAGGCAGGGGCCTCACATCCCACCTCTCTGCTTGTTAGGAGAGGGAGGGAGGGAGGATTCATTCATTACCTCTCCATCCTTTAGATCAGGAAACAGGCTCAGAGAAGTCAGGCGACTTGCCCATGGTCACACAGCCAGGCCTGGAACCCAGGAGGCCTGCCTTTATCTCAGATTCGGCCATATCTGGCCTTATAGCTCATGTCTTCCCTGGCCCACTTCAGGTCCCAAACCATTGGCCACTGCCTGCCTCTCTCTGTTCCAGTCCTACCCAGCGTGGACTGACTAAAATGCAGTCCTAGGTACTCTACTCCCAGGCTTCAGCATCCTCAGTGGCTCTTGGTCCCCCCGGATGTGTGCAAGCTCCCTTCTAGGCCACCTGTGAGCTGACTGTCCCTCCAGGCTCTTGCTGCTGCTTTGGGCATGGCAAACCTGCACTGCATGAACCTTCCGTCCTGTGGCGCTGGTCCCCAGCACAGCAGCCACGGAGCTGCCCCTCTAGGCCCTGCATGGCTCCTCCATCTGTGGCCCCAGCAGGGCCAGGCCGGGGGTCCTTGAGTGCATGTCTCCTTAGTCCAAGTCTCTAGATACGCTGCAGACTTGCAAGATCCTGCCAGAGGAGTGGGGGGCGGCAGGGGGCTCCTGGGCACTGCTCAGGTCCCCAGCCCCCTGCACATGGGAGGTGTCCAGCCGGCGCACGTCACCCTGTGGTTGGGCCCATGGCTGTGCCTGGATCCTGCTGACCTTGCTCTGAGTACCCACGGCAACGGCCACGGCCACGTAGTAACAGGGCTCCATGTGCTCGTGGCTCCTCACACTCATTTCTGGCATCTGGTTTGCTTTGTTGAGCTGGGCAGAGCCCATCCCCTCAAACTTCTCCTCCTGCCCCGGCTCCAAGGCCTCCTTCAGATACCCCGCCCACACACCCCCCCCCCCCCCCCCCGCGGATGGGATCCGCCCCTAAGTTCAGTCATTGACTTTCTGGATTCAGGCCCTGGCTCTGCCACTGAGGCTGGCTGCCCTGAACAAGGCACAGCCGTTCCCTGAGCCTCAGTTTCCCCATTGGTGAAGTGGGGATCACGATATCCACCTGGAGGCCTCTGAGCCCCCGGCAAGTTGTGTGCCCAGCACAGGGCCTGGCACACAGCAGCCCTGGGAGCCTGAGTGTGCTCCCTCTGCTCCTGCAGAAGGAGAAGATCCGGGAGAAGTTCGTGGAAGCCCTGAAAACAGAGTTTGCTGGCAAAGGGCTGAGGTTCTCTCGAGGTACGTGCTTCCATTCATCCTGTGGAGGGTCTGAGAGCCTGGCCCGGCCGCCAGCCCCGGCCTAAGCCTTCCTGCCCCATAGTCCTCCCCACCCAAACCCAGGCCGTGCCCTGCCTCACCCAGTTGCTCAGGTCAGAAAACCAAAGCGTCTTGTTCAGTGTTTATCTCCCTCACCCCTTCCCAAGGGCAGTCTCCTAGCAAGTCCCAAGGCCCTGCATCCAGAATGTTTCTGGAATCTGACCACGGCTCACACCTCTGCCACCAGCAGCCTCTTCTCAGGCTCTGGCTGTCTAACACCACTGTCATAGTGTCCAGTGTCCAGGGATGCTCCTGGGAAAGCAGACCATACTAGACCCCAGGACCTAAGTGGCCGCGCCCCTGCACTCCCCTGGCCTCCTCTGGTACTGGGACACTCTGTGCCCTTCTCCACCTTGGGGACTGTGCTTGGTTCCCTGCAGTTGGCGCTCTGGCTCAGGCCTTAGCTCAGTGTCCCCTCCCAGAGAGGTGTCCCCCGCAGCGCTGTCTGGGGGACCTTCTGGCTCTCTACCCCACTGCCCTGAGGTGGCCTGGCCTGTTCACTACCTGTTCTGCCCGCCAGGATCATAGCTCTCAGTGAGGAGCCTGAGGCTGCCAGGCCCCGTGCCTAGCTCTATGTAGGCATAAATGCAGGATCTTGGCCAAGTCCACCCCGTGGGCCACCCCACTGTTAGCCTCGTCTGCCACCCTCCACAGGCGGCATGATCAGCTTTGACGTCTTCCCTGAGGGCTGGGACAAGCGCTACTGTCTGGACAGCCTGGACCAGGACAGCTTCGACACCATCCACTTCTTTGGGAACGAGACCAGCCCCGTGAGTATGGCTCAGCCCAGGTATATTCCACTCCAAGTCACCCCCAGGTCAAGGCCAGGACACAGGGGAACAGAAACCTCCCTCAGGAGACCCCTGGAGAACAGCCAGTGTTCCTCAGCCCCATTACACAGATTGGAAGGCTGGGGCTAGAGCTGGCTGGATGCTTGTCCCACGTCACACAGCAAGTGAGGGCAGATCTGGTGAAAGCTGAGGAGGTGGGGTCCTGGGTTGGAGGAGAGGGGGGCTGGAGGAGAGGGGGGCTGGAGGGGAGGCAGCTCTGCAGGAGCCATTGTGGGGAGGGGACCCCGTGGCAGGGCACATGCTGGGCCTCAGCCCTGGGGACCTCCTCCAGGCACCACATACATAAGTGCCTTCCTAGCCTCCCTTGTGCGCAGGGTGGGAATGACTTCGAGATCTACACTGATCCCCGGACCGTCGGCCACAGCGTGGTCTCTCCGCAGGATACAGTACAGCGATGCCGTGAGATCTTTTTCCCAGAGACCGCGCATGAGGCGTGACCAGGGCCCATGCCTGCTCGTAGGGACTTCAGAGAGCTCCCCCCAGGCCTAAAGAGAGCCCCTGGCCCTGATGGTGGGGGTTGGGGGGTGCCAGGCCCCTCCTCCTGTGGCTCAGGATGCCTGCCTATGACCTGCTGCAAGGCCTCCCTTGACAGGGCCAGGGTCCGCACAGACAACCGTCCCCAGCTAGTCAGCTCCTGGGGGTACCGGCTCTGTCCTCCACCTTGATGGCCCTGGCCACAGCTGTTGCTTGTACTTGTGAACAGGACAGATTTCGGTCTACACCGCAAGTAGGCCTGTGCTAATGTTGGCATGAGATAGAGCCTGCCCAGTTTGCCTGTCCCAGGCAGGATGCAGAGCACCGGGGAAGGTGCGTATTTGCCAGAACTTTCTCTCTTAAACATTAAAGTTCCTGGAACAAGGTATGGTGTCAGCTCTGTCTGAATGCGTAATTGGCCCCCATCACAAACCACCGATGTCCCAGCCACCTCTTGACAGGTGAGGGAGCTGAGGCAGAGCTGGCAGGGACTCCCCGACCCCCTGCCGGGTCACACAGGAAGTCTTCAACCCACTTGACCATGGGCCACTGAAGCCCTAAAACAGGTTAAGTTTGGGGTACTCTCCCCAAGTGCCTCCCCCAGGACCCAGACAGACGGAGGCAGCTCTGGGCCAGGCGGAGTCACAGTTGAGGGTTTATTGCCAGTGTTAGGAAGGATGGGGGCTGGGGGGGTCCAGGCGGTTTGGACACTGCGGGGCCATGGGTTTGGAGGGGCACAGCCGCCCCCTGCCTCCCAGGCAGCCCTGGCGCTGATGTTACCACATCTTCTGTCCAGGCTAGTGCCTAAAAACGGGGTGTCTGCTCAAAGGAGGGAGTCTCAGGGGGCTCCCAGGAGTTAACCTGTACCCATAAACCTTCCACCAAGGAAGCCAGGGAGTCCTTGTTCCTCTGGGTCAAGTCCTCGGGCCTTGTCCGAACAGCCCGGCTCAGACTAGGGTGTCAGGCTGGGCTATTCCATTTCTCAGCAGCTCTGATCTCCCCCCCCAGCCTGGTAGGGACCGACGTGTGGTGCACGTACCCCAGCTCATTGCTACCCCGTGGGCCTCGGGGCACCTGCAATACTGGGGATCATTCTAAACAGATACCCCTCATCTTGGGCACTTGAGCCTGTTTTACTCACAGACCCGGTCTCGCAAGGATCACTGTCCCTGGCAGGCATTCTCTCGACCCCCATTTCTTGTCCCATCAAATGGTGTGTTCTCTGGGAAGGAGTGTGGTGGTGATGGCGGGGGTAGTGGAGGCAAAGCCTCTCCTTCCTGGCCTCCCAGGCCACACCAACCCCCCCACCCGAGAGCAAATGCACACGGACACATACACGCACAGACACACACACCTTAAGGGACCCAATGCACGAGATCGGGACGATATCCCCCAGCCTCCGGCCTATGGGGCCAGCAGTAAGGGCTGAAGCTTCAGGGTGAGGGTCCAGCAAGGGGCTGCGGGGCTAGTGGCCTTGGGCGAGGGCCAGCCTGTGGGTGCCCCTGCCTGGCCTTGCCTGAGGGGACCCACGTCTGCCTGGTGGGGTCCTCAGCAGCCACATCTGGGCATGGGCAGAGCATCAGCGGAGTTTGTGGGTCAGGGCAAAGGGGATGGTTCCGTCCAAGCCGGGGGAGATGTGCCCCTACCCCTCCACGGATCTATGTCTCCGAGTGGTGGCGGCGTGGCTCAGTGCAGCCCAGGGGAGGGGACACAGCCTTGAGCTCACAGAGCCATTGCCAGGCTGAGGCAGAGGGACCATGGCCGGCAAAACTGAGACCCCCAAACCACCTTCTGCCCTCAGCTCCTGCTTGCCTGCCTCTCCGGGATGCTGAGAGGAGGGAGCAGGTGGAAGGAAGGGAGGCTGGGCCCGTGGCAGTGAGGAGGGTTCTGACTCCAAGGGTTACCCTCCTCCCCTGCCGGAGGCTGGGAGGCGCCCCCAGAGCTCTCGCTGGCCAGGCTTCTGAGGGAAGGGCTACAGGCCACCGTGGGAGGCCCCAGCCCAGGGTGGGAGGTCTAAGGAGCACAAGCAGAGTCTGGTCCCTGGGCCAGGCCTGGAGCAGAGGCAAGGGCAACACGCTTGTATGGACAGGGGCCCACCGGTGCCCCCTGCCTCCTGGGACCAGGCCTGACGCAGGCCCTCGGGCTCGGTGGACAGGAGGGCGAGAGGGTCCTGTGCGGATGTGGCAGGGAGGGGAAGGAGACAGCGGACAAACAGAGGCGGGGCTGGGGGCCTCCCCTTTGGTCCAGCTCACGCAACAGTCACGGGTCACGGGGGGCGGATGGAGGCACGTGCTCACGGCCACAAGCACAGACAGACAGACGTGTATGCTGAGGCCGCCCAGGGGACCGGGCCAGCCAGTGCAGCGGGGCCTGGAGCCCCCAGCTGCCCATCTACCCTGTGTGGCTCCCCACCCGCCCGGCGGCTGACACGTGAGCCCCCCAGCCTAGGAGCCCACGACCTGGCCAGACCACGTCTCGTGGGGAGTATGTGGGGCCAACTGGGTGAGCACCACCTCCACGGCCTGGAACTTCTGGTTCTTGGGTGGGATGGGGCACATCTTGTAGGTCACCTCGTCGCCTTCCACGGGCACGTACTCCCCCTCGATGCTGGCGGGCGGGAGAGCTGCGTCAGCCCAGCAGCGGGCCCCACTCCCAGACACCCGCTGTGGGCTGGCCTGAGGGCTGCCTCCCCTCCCTTCTCAGAGCTTCAGCTCTCTAACTTGTAAAATGGGACTCCGAAATGGTCCCTCCCTGTCTGTGCTGTTTGGGGATTGAGACATGAAAGGCAAGGGAGGTCTGGAGGCCTAGAGAAGCTCAGTGCCCTCCCCAGGTCTTGCCTGGCACCAGGGCTGGGGGCCAGGCCTAGGTCATCTCTCCCATGCCCATCTACCTTCCAGGCTGAAAGACCCAGGGGCTGGCCCCGCCCTCTCAGTTCCCGTGGTGCTGGATCCCAGGGCTCAGCCAGTAGTTCCCGGGGCTTCTGGGGCCAGGATGTCCCCTCCCCACCTGGTCCCAGCCTTCCCCTGTTCCCCCTCCCACGCACCAGCAGCCCCTGCGACAGGAGGAGAAAGATGCCAGGGACACAGACTTCAGCCAGCCAGGGTACAGGCCTGGAGAGGCGTTTCTAGAGGCCTTGCCAGGACCCTGCAGTAGGGGCCCAGCCAGGGATGTAGTGGGGGAGGGACTCACTCAGATACATGCACAAAGATGTCCTCGGATCCATTCTCGGGGGTGATGAAGCCGTGGCCTTGTGAGCGTGAGAACTGCTTACAGACGCCTTTGAACACGGGGCCAGCCGAGGCCCGGGCTGTCCTGAGGTAAGAGTAGGGGGATTAGAGCTGTGGTCTGGGGACTCCCCTCCCTGGACTCCCACAGCCCTCCTTGGCCATGTCTGCCTGTAGAGCCTGTCCCAGGGCTGTAGAAGGTCCTCCCCAGGCCAGAAACTGCACACGGTAATGCTCTGTCATGGTCCCATTGGACAATAAGGAGACTGAGGCCCAGAGAGGGCAACTGGCTCTCCCAGGGTACACAGCAAGCAAATTTCCTGACTCCCAGCCAGTGCCCCTCTCTGTGCAGAGCACCCTTTCCTCCTGAGACGATTCAGGTTTACATGGGCTCCTGCTGTAAGACTTCTGAGTGAAGAATACTCAGCCTGAACTTGAATACTTCTCAAAATGGGGAGCTCACTACCTTTCGAGGTCACGGTATCCTATTCACTTATTTGTCCCTTACCCACTCATTCATCATTTATCAAGCATCTGCTCTGTGCCCAGCCTTGGGTTGGACACAGGGGACAACTAGTCCCATCCAAAACCTCTCCTTTAGGGACACCTGGCTGGCTCAGTCGGTGGAGCACATGACTCTTGCTCTCAGCGTTGTAAGTTCAAGCTCCATGTTGGGTGTAGGGCTTACTTAAAGCAAAAACAAAAAAATCTCTCCTTTGGCCAAGGCAAGTCAGTCTGCCTGTGATCTCTCCAAATCGCCTCTCCCATGTGACCCCAGCCAGCGAACTACCCCAGAGGCCCAAGGCTGGTCTCTGTCTAGTCCGCCCACCCCTCACCAGAGGTCAGTCCTTGCTTCCATTTTGGTCCAGGCTGACCCATGTACCTCGAACACCCAACTTCCTTCTTCACCTAACACGTCCTCCAAACTCACTAGGACCTCATCCCCCCTGATGCCTGACATTGTATCCTCTCTCCCAACCCTGCTGGGTGGAGGTGAACTGTAGACAAATTCCTTCTGGATTATAGACAGCTTATAGGCAGAGACTGTCTTATTCATCACCGGATGCCCTAGTCAGATGCTCAGTAGATCTTAGTGGAGTGAAGAATGAATGAATGAATAAACACAGTAGTTTCTGGAAGGTCCATATCCAGTCCCCTGTCCTTGAGTGAGGACAGCAGGGTTTGATCAAGGATAGGACTGGAGCCTTGTCCTGGGGAAAGATCCCTGGAGCCTGGGCGAGGGGCAGGTACTCACGCTGAATACGTCCTGGTCCGTTTGGTGGGCAGAGGACTGGGCAGGTCCCGGGACGAGACGCCGCCCCGCTCCCAGACCCTGCTGCCCTCCCGGTGGAAGGGGAAGGTGGGCCAGACAGGAGACTTGGGGGAGTGGAGTGGGGGCACTACCGGGGGCGACGTGGGCTCTGAAGTCATGGCGGGTCCCGCGAGAGAGCCTGTTGGGCTCCCGGGCACAGGGGCCGGTGAAGAACTTGGGCGTCCTTGCGGGCAGGGCCCGGCCTGGCCCTGCTCGGCAGCCGCACCAGCCACGGGCTCCGTCTGGAAGGGGGAGAAAGAGGCAGAGTTGAGTGTGGGCCGGGCTGAGCGGCTTCTGGACACCAGGCCCGAGCCTGGAGGGCCGGGCCTATTCGCCGACCCTCACAGTGTGACCTCAGGCCTCTCATGGCCCCACACTGACTCAGAATCCTTCCCAGAAAGACAAAACGGTCTTATAACCTTGCTCTGAGCTGAATTATTTCCCCCTAAAATTCATATCTGGAAGTCCTAAACCCAATGTGGTGGTATTTGGAGATGGGGCCTCTGGCAAGCCATTAGGAGCAGGTAAGGTGGGAGAGGGGTTTGGGGGGCATGATGGGATTAGTGCCCTTGGAAGAAGAGACCCAAAGAGCTTGCTTCCTCTCCGCCACGTGGGGACACAGCGAGACAGGAGCTGTCTATAGGAAGGGGGCTCTCACTAGAACCAGACCATGCTGGCTCCCCGATCTTGGCCCGCCAGCCTCCAGAGCTGTGAGAATTAAACTGTCGTTGAAGTCCCCTGTCCACGGTATTGGGTCACAAGGGATGGTCCAAGCTAAAACTAACCTCCAAGTCCTTCCAGCTTGAGGCTCAGTTCTCTAACTCCAGAGGCCTGGAAAGTGGGATGGGGAAAGCAGCCAGTGACCCTCTGGAACACGGTTTGGCCCAAGTGTGAGCAGTTTCACATCCACACACCTGAGCTCAAATCTCAGCTTCGTCACTGTCACTTGGTGACTTCAACAGTTCCAGGAGACAGTGCAGGCTCTGGAGCCAGGTAACCTGGGTTTGAATCCTGCCTCCTGCCCCTAACCAGCTATGCAGCCTGCCTTGGTCAACGCTTTTAATCTTTGACTCGGTTTTCTGCACTGTAAAATGGGGCTAGTGCTGGTCTTTACTTCACGGCAAGGTTGCTGTCAGGATTCAGTGACTGTCTCCACGCCAGGGCGTGGTAAGCCCTTGGGAACGCTGGTGAGTTTGCCTTAGCCCTATTTTCCTCTGCTCTGAAGTGAGATTGAGAATACTTACTGTGCAAGGTTGCTGAGGGGTCACTGACGGAGTGTGGGACATATCGGCATCTCAGAGATACCCAATGAATGGCTCTCGTCAATGCTCAGCGATAGAAATTCCCTTGTCACCCACTAAGTGCCTGGATGACCTTGAAAAAATTCACCCTATGTTTTCCTCTACTAAAGAAGAGAACATAGTTCTCTCCCCACGGGGGTTGGGAAGTCTCAGACCCTAAGAGACGCTGCTGTGGAACCCCGGGGAGGACGGCTCAGTGTACTGAGCCAGGCTGTGGATGGAGCCTGGGGCCGCAGTGGGGCCAGGCAGGACCCCTGGACCAGGAGCCCTCCAGCTCTGCCACGGACCAGCCGCCAACCTTGGGGAGTACTTCCACTGGCCTCAGTCTCCTCATCTGTATAGAGCAGCTGATAAACCCTGCCTTACTCCCTCACAAGCTATGGTGAGCCTTGGCTAAGCCTAGGCCTTCCCAGAGGCCCCATCATAATCTACAGTTATGCAGGAATGAGGAGGACAGGATTCTCTACCTCCTCAGCACCCTTCTTCACTACCTCCCCCCTCACCCAAAGACCCTAGTGCCTGAGGTAAATCCCTGAGCCGCAACCCTATTTCTGGCCTCCATCTTGTGCCCCACCCCCGCTCCAGCCTAGAATTTCCAGGGCAGAATCACCCTGAAACGCAGTGTGGCAAGGTATGGGAGAGCGGAAAAGTCACAAGATCCAACAGTGGGGCAGGTCTCCTGGCCGCCATTCAAGGTCACACAGCAAGTGGGACCCATCTGGGTCAGGATCATGAGCTGGTTCTGCCGGGCCTCCAGGTGGACATGCGGCCTTCCTCCTCCCCAGCCCCCGCCCCCCAACATGCCTCTCCACCCAGGAGAGCTGGTCCCTCACGGCCCCTCACAGCTCCTCACAGCCCCCTCAAGCCGATGTGGGGTTTTTCTTTCCGAGCCTGCTCCAGGAGGCCGGGCCAGGTTTGGCATTTTTATTCCCATTTTTAGAGAGAAGAAAACGCAATCACACAAGAACTTGGGCCTGAGTGTTCACAGCAGCATTATCCACAACAGGCCCAAAGTGGAAACGAGCCAGAAGTCCATCAACAGACAAGCGGATAAACAAGCCGTGGTCTAGCCACAGAGCGGAACATGATTCAGCCGTAAAGAGGAACGGGAGTCCTGACACCTGCTGCAACACAGACGAGCCTGGAGACCCTTACGCCGAGTGGAAGAAGCCAGCCAGCCACAAGATAGCACGTTGCGGGATTCTATCCATGCAACATGTCCAGAATGGACAAGTCCACAGAGACAGAAAGGACATCAGTGGTTGCCAGGAATTGGGGGGATGGGATCATGGGGAGTACATTCTAACAGGTGCAGTTTCTTTCTGGGGTGATGAAAATGTCCTGAGGTTGATCATGGCCTTGTTGCACAATTCTGTGACCATACTGAAAACCACTGACTCGCCTACCTTGAACGGTTGAATCATACGGTATGTGGGTTATATCGCCATAAAGCTGTTATCAAAAAGGAAACCAGGCAGCAAAACTACCCAAGATGTCAGAGCCAGGACAGCAAGAGACGCCGGGGCCCCACAGTACCCGCTCAGGTGTCCCCTCCGCACCTGGGCACGGGTGGCAGGTGGAGAGATGCTCCCCTTCCTTCTGTCCAGAAAGCAGGGCAGTCCCAGCCTGCCCACTGCACAGTTTCCCGAGCTGGCATTGTGCTTGGTGGTGACAGCCGGTGCTGGGAGGTCGTGGGGAGGAGGGGCAGAGGCAGCTCACAGCCGTTACCAGGGAGACACAGCTGAGCCAGGCCCTGCTCTGGCCAGGCCGGCCAGGCCTCCCGACCCGAAGCTTCTTGCAGGGAAGGGGGGAGATGCATTGATTAACTACCCAGGGTTAGGGGTGAGGGAAGGCCCCTCTTCCTTCCCTTCCCCAAAATGGTTCCCCATAAGGGACTAGGCACCAGAAGAGAGGAGGATGGAATAAGGACAGGGATAGGCCTTCCTACCCTCTGGCCCCACAGGACTGGCTGCTCCTGGCCCTTCAACCCCACCCCAAACACCGCTCTGTGCAAGCAGCCCACAGTTGGCCTTAGGAGTTTGGGCTGAGGGTGCAGAAAAGGCCACCTCCCGGGGGGCAGAGGGTGCTGCCCTCGGATCTCCCCCATCTCCCTCCTCTTCTGGAAAACGGGGAGTGCCAGAACCCTTCCTCCAGAGCTCCTGTAAGGATGAAATGCGAGGCAGTGCGGGGTGGCGGGGGATGGAGAACAGCAGGTGCTGGGCGAGAGGTCGCCCCTCCCAGACAGGGCTGCTAAATTGGGCTTAGGGGTTAGAGGGAGTGGGAGGAAGGTGAGCCCCAGCTGAGCCAAGCCAAGCCCATCCCCACTCCCCTCTTTCCTGTATCCCAAGGTCTTGCCCACCTACCAGGTCCCTGCCCTGCCCCTCAGAGCTTCTTCCTTATCAATTCCTGCAGCTGCCCTTTCAGTGGCTGCCATTATAACTACATTTTGCAGAGGAGGAAACTAAGGCTCAGAGAGACCAAGTCATTCACTCAAGGCCACACAGCAATTACTGTCTGAGCCAGGACTCAAACCGAGGTAATCTGACTCTGGAGCCCTGAGTTCAGGCCCTGCGTTGCCACTGAGTTGCTGTGCGACCTTGGACAGGCTTCCCCTCTCTGGGCCCTGCCAGAAGAGAATAAGGGGACACAGAGCAAACTTCCAGTTCAGACCCTCTCCCCAGGGTGTTGCTGCAGAAAGGAACCAGTAAAGACAGGCTTTTATTGTCTGAATACGGTATCTAGTACAAAAGTCTTTACAGAGGTCACTTTCCCTTCGGAAATCTCCCAGTGGCCCTGAAAGGTTGGAATTTCCATCATTTCTATTTTACAGCTAAGGAAACTGAGGCTCAGGGAGGTGGAGTGACTCACCCAAGGTCACACAGCAGGTAAGTGAGAAGAGCCCAGATTCATCTGAAAGCAAATGGTGTTCTTCTTAAATTCTGCTCCTGGTTCAGCCAAAACACGGCTGGAGTTTTTACTAAAAGACCTTTCCCTGAGAACTGAAGGGGAAAATAAACTCCCAAAAGCAGCAAAACACATGAGTTTGAAGAAAGTTTGTTTCAATTCAGGGTAAAGCCCAGCCCCCAGGGGACTGGGTCCTAGTGTCTGGGAAGCCCTTCAGAACTGGCCGCTGGAGGTTCGAGGACAGGTCGGGACCATTTCTGGCCTGGGCTGGACGCCAGTGACCCTACCCTTCTGAGCCTCAGTTTCCTTATCTGTCCAAGGGCTATTAGTAGCACCTGTCCCGCGTGTGGGAGGGGCTGAGGGGCCGCTGTATCAACAGTCCACCTGTGAGGGCACGTCTCCCTGTCCACATGTTCTGGCTCTGACCCTCCCGGCCACGCTTGTCTTCATTTCCCTGCATGAAGGCCAAACCTGGCCATTCTGCGGACAGAAGGACTAGGGGAGGTAAAACCAGAACATCAGGGCTGTTCAGAGGTAACCTGAGGCGAGGCTGTGATACAGTGTGACTCAGCCCTGTCAGCAGGTGACCATCGTCCTGGTGCTGGGGCTTCTCCAGTTCTCAGATACCCCAAAAAGACAGGGCAGAAAATGGCTGTCAAAGTCCTCTCTTGACTGTGCGAATGTCTCTTGTCTGGGGCAGAGTAGGGAAAGCCAACTGGATCAACCCCCCCAGTGCTGTGTGACCTGGGGCCCACCCTTGACCCTCTCTCAGCCTCACTCTTCTCCTCAGCTGCTTGAATCATCGCTGGCCCAGATGCCTACTGAAGGTCAGTCCAACTGCCCTCTGAGGTTTTCAAAAAAACACATGTAACTGCAAGGAAATTGCATGCCAGGCACTGGGACCACAGACACGGGAGGAGAGAGCCCCAGCCTGCAGGGGGAGGACCAGACTGACCAGGGCACAGAGTGGGAAGTCCGAACGTGACACGAGGCACGGCTACCACATATAGATCGTTAGCCACGTGGCCATGCTCTGCCAAGTCCTTGGCCCCATTTCCTCAGGTGGTCCCCACAACACCCCTACGTGACAATGACTGTTATTAGCCCCATTCTTCAATAGAGTAAACTGAGGCCCAGAGAAGGAAAGAAGCTACCTGGGGTCACACAGCTGGTCAGGGACGGTGCTTTCTGCACGTGAGATTGTGGGAGGGGGGAGGAAAGCTCCCTGACATCTCCTGCCCTCCTCTGGTGAAGGAAGAACGGGGGTGTAGAAAAACTGGGGAGTCAGGCCTTGGGGTTCTATTTCTGGCTTTGTGCCGACTCAGACTATGACCTTGGGTGAATCACTTGCCAACTCTGGCAAGCCTAAAAACAACTCCCCCAGAGAGTATGTCCCAGCCCTGAGCCCCCATGTGCAGGAGCAGCCAGGGGCAGGAGAGGGTACAGTGGCTTATAAAGGGGAAGGACACAGGGCACTGGATGGCGGTGGGAGGGCTTTCTGAATGTTGGGATCTTATCTAAGGTCGGTCGGTCGGTGGTCCTAGGAGCAGGAGGAAATAGCCTCAGGACCACCAGCCAGAAGCTGGCACTTCCCCAGCCCCTCCCCTCCCCCAGCCACCTAGACAGTCCTTAAAATACCTCAGCAGCTGGAGGTGACCTAATTAAACCTGGTTCTTCTCCCTCCTACAGCGTGTGCGTGCGCGTGCGTATACGCGCGCGCGCGCGTGTGTGTGTGTGTGTGTGTGTGTGTGCATGCATGGGGTTAGGGGCTGCCCCAGCCTATATTTGAGCTTCATGAAGACCTTTTCACTCTCCTTGTCACATGCCCCTACTGCCTGGGGGAGGGGCCGCCCTGATGAAGGCCTTCGGGCTTCCTTGGCACCAGTGAGGGTAAAGATGCCAGAAGGGGCCCTGCAAGAGCCGTGCTCACATCCCATCTCTGCCAGGCTGTGTTACCCTGAGCAAGTCACTTTCCCACTCTGAGCCCCCTAGAGAGAGGAAAGGATTGGTCAAAGTCACACTTAAAGCAGCTGAACTCAAATCAGTGTGACCTCAAAGCCCAGAGCTCTCCGGGGTGCCAGCCGCCACGCCAGTGACCATCATTCCACCGGCTTTGGAGCAGGGGGGAAGCCCCCCACTACTTGTTGTTCCCTACCTGGCTGCTCTGCGTGGACACGGGCCCCAACTGCCCCAAGCCCCCTTCCCACCAGGGTCCAGCTGGTGGTGACCCAGAGATGCGACCCTCTCACCCAAGCCCGGAGCGCCCTCTGCTGGTGCCAATCTTGGGGCGCTGCCTCCAGACCCGCCCGTGGGTGTCTCTTCCCCACAGGCTGGCGGTGTAGGTCCCCCTATTCCTCCCTCCAGAGCCCCTCCATGGCCAATGGGCTTCCGTGAACATTGCCAGGCCTGGGAGGGGACTCTGTGACCCAAACTGTCCCTCGGCCTTTCCCAGGCCTCTCTGTGACCAGTTCCTGCTCAGATCTTTTTTTTTTTTTTTTGGAGTGGAGGGCAGACAGATCCAGAGGGGTGGGACAGATATGGGAAATAGATGCTGGAAAGGACTTCAAGGAAATGGTTGGGGTAGGCGGGGCGGGGTGGGGGGAGTCTGGGTGAAGGAAACATCCAGAATTTGGAGGGGCCTCTGGGATAGAGTCAGTTTTGGGGAACTGGCTCCGCGTTCTCCAAGGGGCTGCAGACTGCCCCTCCCCATCGAGAGCCCAGTTCTGGAGCACATCCAGGTGGGCACGGTGCCAGGCTCTCAGTGAGGTTGCCCACCCTCCTCCCGGGCGCACTTCCTCCTCCCCTCCCCCAGCCCCAGCGGATGCAGCAGTTCACACTCTGTATTTATTATTGTTCTCGCTCCGCGTCCCTCCCCTCTCCCTGGGAAGAGCCTGCAGGCTGGCAGCTTGGCAGGAACCTGCTGTCTCCCTTGCGGGTGCCAGCATCAACCCTTATCTCTGCCCGGACTCCTTGTGCCCAGGCAGGCCACTCAAGGACTTGGGGTTAGCCCAGGCTGCCCCGAGTCCCCGCATCCCGCAGCTGGGGGCCAGCAGCCCCGGGCTCAGCACCCTCTCCACCTCCCACCCCGCCGCCCCAGGGTTGCACCCTGGCAAGGGTGGAGGTCAGAGCGAGACCAGCAAACAGGGGAGAGGAGTGGCCTCCGGAGAGGCGAGTGCTCTGGGTGGGGGCTGCTCCGAGGCGAAGATAATTACAGGGAGCCGCCTCTCCAAGCCCATTAACACAATTATCCCCACCGTGTTGGGGACGAAATAGAGTCAGGACGACACAGCTGCTCCAGGTCCAACTGTCTGCCTGCCCTAAATGGTCGGTCCCCGGGCCCCAGCCCCGAATTCCAGGGGGACAGACACATGGCCCCTGCTGCAGCTCCCCTCTGGGCATCTGGTAGGAGCACAATTATTCCCCAGTCATTTCTCTTCCCCCGGTTCCCAGACGGGAGGCTGCGGCTTGGCAGGTGTTTGCTGTTCTCTGCTTCTTGGGCCAGACACAAGTCCCAGACACAGACACACACACACAGACCCACACACACAGACACACACGGTCTCACAGGGAGCCACACGGCCTCGGCTTCCCTTGGGGGCTTGGAGGAGGGAGGGAGGGAGGGAGGAGGGAGGACCGGGTGGGCTCATCCACAAACCCTCCAACACCCTCCTCAGTAAACTGAACGGGGCTGGGCCAGCCCCAGGGGAGGGACCCACCTTCCCAACCCCGCGTGTCCTACCTCCCCGCTTGGCCCCTGCCAAAGCCAGTTTCTCGAGCTGGTGTGCCCTCGCCGCCCCGTCCTGTCCCTTACCTCTCCGGGGCAGCCGAGGTCCAGCCACCGCCTCCCGCAGCCGCCTTCAGCACTCTGCCTCTCTCTGGCCCTCGGAGCTGGCCAGCAGGGGCCGGGTCTGAGATGTGTTGTGTGTACGACTGTGTGTGTGTGTGTGTGTGTGAGCATGCGGCACCTCGAGCCCCTCACTCACTCACACACGCCCTCCTCCTGACGTCAGGAAGAGCAGGAGGGAGGGACTGGGATGGGAATTTGTACTCCCTGCTTAAAGGGACCCAGGGCCCTGCTGCCTCGGGGCCAGACACCGCCTACTGAGTCAGGCGCGGACGGGGTGAGGGAGTTTTAGCTGCGTCTCTCCCGGCCCTAAAGCTTCTTTTTTTGGAAGGTGGCTTTTATTGCCAGGCTGGGGTATAATTTGCCCTGCCAGGTGGGAGTAGCTGCTGAGGAATGCAGGGGGGGTGTGGGGCGGGGTGTGGGGTGGGGGGGAAGAAGCTGGAGCAGCCCACATTCCTGACAATTAGAGAGCTGGTGGGTGGGCGTGTGTGCGTGCGTGTGTGCGTGTGGGTGGGTGTGGGGGGTGTACATGCGACTGTGCTGGGGGCCACAGGGTCTGGGCCAGGTGCAGTGGTGAGTCTGGAAGAACAGAGGAGGGGGAGGAGCCCTCTCTGAGGGAGCCCCAGACAAGGGCGGGGCAAGCCCTGTTTTGGGGACTCTCAGACCTTCCTCTGCCCTCTGGATCCTCAGTGTCCCCGGCCTCCATTAGCGCTGACACTGTGCTCAGGTCTACCCTTGCTTGGTGGAGATCCTTGTCTGCAATTATGGGAGCTCCTCTCCTTCTCTGGCCCACAGTAGATGGTGTTTCTGTTGAATTGAATTGAATTGAATTGAATTGAATTGAATTGAGAAGCCCCTTAGGGGGGGATAAGCTTGCTTCTCTTTTTCTCTCTCTATCTCTCTGTCTCTAGGATGGACAGCCCCTGCACCCTTCCCAGTTCCCCCGTCTCCACATCGGAGAGGCCCTGGGTGTGGATCTCCACTCCAGCACTCCCGGGCCGTGATCACTTGGGAGAATCTTTTACTGACTCTGATCCTCCACAGCCTCTCTGCAAAGAAGGGAAGAAGGCCCTTTCTCAGCGGTGCTCCATGTTTGCAGAGCAGTCTGCGGTTAAGCCTCAGGCCCCGCTAAAGAGGCCTCCACCAAGGAGTTTCTGTTCCTCCCCACCCCTTCTCCTAGGCCTCAGCTTGGAAAGAAGGAAGGTTTCCCGCATGCATCCTTCATCCTCCTGAGGCAGGCTGGCATTTCAACAGAAGTCTTATTAAAATCAAAAGGAGGAGGGAGTCAAAAAGGAAATGATCGAGAAAAATGCAAATAACAACAGCCAGTAAGACACACTGAGGGCTTCCCAGCTGGCTCTGCCTCACCCAAGGCCCACAGGGGTCCGGCCATTTATGACCATCGCCCCTGCTCTGCTGCTGAGGACGTAAGGCTCAGGTAGGAGGAGGGAGTTGCCCGTGTTCATTATCTGGCTAGAAGGATATTAAACCCAGGGCTGTCCAATGCCACCACATATCCCTGCTCTTCCAGAACCTCCCAGAACAATCAGGCTCAGACAGTCTAGGTTTCTGATCCTGCACAAGAGGTGGCCCATCCGCACCCGAGGTCTGGAATTCGGATTCTGTTCCACTCACTAGACTGAGAACCCTCCCAGTGGAACCTCATCCCGCTTGAACCCTTCTCTTCCCTCTTGGTCTTCCTCTCTTCCAAAGAGAATCGTAGTTTTCAAAGGGCCCACTCGAGCACCAGCTCCCATGCTGCTTGTAACAGCTCTGGATGAGGAAAGGGGCTGGGAGAGATGGGGGACCTCGCTGAGTCACCCAGCGCGGAAGCGACAGAGTGACAGATCAGGCTGTGGTCCCATTATGTTCTCACGCTCCAGGAGAAGGGCCAGGGCTGGGGTCGAAGCCCGAGATCTCCCCACTCACCACCCACTGTCCCTTCTGGGGGGAATGGCCCCATGTTTTCATCTGGGGAATGCCTTCTCTCTCCTGAGCCACAGGAACCCCAGCGGCCCATCAGAGCCAGAGTCGGGAATTGGGTTGGAACGTCAATGCCAAGGTCGGCTCTTCGCACAGCTCCTGAGTTGGCGGAGATTGGATCTTGGCTGCTGGTAGCCGAGCTGTGGATTACAAGCCAATGATGGGTCAAGAATGGGGAGCAGCCAGGGGGGACTTTTCTGAGGGGATGATGTTTGAGCTGAGCCCCAAGTGACAAGAAGGAGCCAGACTTGCCAGAATCCAGAGAGGAGGCTGGTGTGGCTGGAGGTGGTGAGGGAGGTGAGGGGGAGGATAGGAGACTGGAGGCCAGGAGGCAGGGCCTGAAAGGCCACCTATGAGAGCTCGAGGCCTGGTCTGCTGTGGACAAGGACAAAGCCGGGGCCACGGGCCCGACCCTCACTTTGTGGCCGGCCTTTCTTGGAGGGCCCACCCGCCACCGGCAGACATGAGTGGGGGCTTCCAGGCACCCTGAGAGCCGTGAATGAAGGAGGCTGGGCCGAGGTTTGAAGTAGTGTTGTGATTATTCTCGACAATGAGGAGAGGGCACAGCTGTTCATTCAGGAAATGAGCAGCCCGTGGCACCACCCACCCACCCACCAGACGCTGAGTAACAAAGAAATTGTCTGCTTGAAACCAGGGGTTCTGCCGTTGAGGCTATTTTTGTGAAACGCTGAGAATTCAAAAGCTCATCTCCTCGAAAGCCTTCCTCGCCTCGGAGAATCTGGAGGTGGGTAAGGGGCAGATTAGCCCAAGGCCTACTGATTCCCTCTGACTCACAATTCCCACCCTGTGACCCGCTGCCAGCCCACCCACAGGGGCCAGGCCTGGGCCACCCTGGCCTTGAATCCATAGAATGCCTTAAGATACATCCAACCTTAAGACGTGGGTGCCACCCGTTGGACGGACGTGGAAACTCAGGCACAGAGAGGTAGAGAAACTTGCCGGGTATCACACAGCTGGTGACGGAGCTGGGATTAAATCTCAGGAGTTCTGGCTTCATTACCTTCTCATTCCTTCTGCTACACCACACTGCCTTCGAGATGTCTTTTTGGTTCCCTGGATGCCCATCTCCTTGGCCATGGGACTCTTCTCCAGCGGGTTCTAGTGATTTTGCCCCGTAGATAACAGTGGCTTTTCCATCCTCTCTTCCTGTCCCCCGGCCATCTTGTCCAGTCCGACCACTGCCCTTCTACCAGAGAAGGTCTATTTCTGCAGCTTGGACCACGTCCTTCGTTCACTCATTCAAACATCTGACAAATATTTATTGACTCCTCAGGCAGTCTAGGCTGGAACACAGCAGTGAACCAGACAGATACACGCCCTGAGTTTATAAAGCTCATGTCTTATCTAGGAAGAGACATAGTACCAAGTATGCAAACGAATAAATGTATAACCACACATTACGAAGACAGCACAGAAGCAGGGTGGGAAGAAGGAGACAGGCAGGACTGAATCTACCCACTTAGGGCTGAGAGAGGCCACTTGGAGAAGGAGAAGGGGCCCTTGCAAGCTGATCCCCAAGGGTGAGAAGGAGCCAGCCTTGTAAAAAGCAGGGGAAGAGTGTTTCCCAAAGAGGGAACAGCATGGCTGAACTCCCAGAGGCAGGAAAGGCTGCTGCATGTTCCAAAGGTCACTGATGTGGCTGGATGAGGAAAGACAGAGGAGGCCAGGGTCAGACTGTGTGTGTGTGTGGGGGGGGGTGCTGGCAATAGGTCTGCTCCTCATCTGAAATGAGATAGGAAGGCGTGACGTGCTCCTGCCTCCAAACAGTACCCCCAGCGGCCTCACAGCCTTGTCCAGGGTAATGACCGACACAGGCAGGAGACTGAGGAAGATGGAGGGGTCCCCTGGCCCTGGCCCCAGAGCTAGAGATGACCCTGTGGTCTGCAGGTGAGAGTTTTCTGACGCTTAAATCCCCTTGAGTCATTGGAAAGCGCTCTCCATCATGGGGAAAGGGGTCCCTGCCCACAGCTGGCCCCCTCTGCACCCTGCCCTGAGACCCCAGGGCTAAAGCAGCCAGGCTGACCCTCCCCACAAACCCAGGGCTGGGAGGAGGTGTGGGCCAGGCCTCCCTCGCACACCCATTCCCGAACACCCCATGTCTTCTCAACATTCAGGCTCTCCTCCCCCTGTACATTCTGAGTGAGGCCGTCCCTGACTGTCCTGGCTAGAATTCTAGTCACTCACTGTCATAGTATGCATGTGACCTTTCTCCATAGCAATGCCTGGAATGAGCTCCCACATCTGTTTCCTGCTTCCCATCAGGGGCCCCCAATAAATACCTCTTGATTTTTTGCACTTTGCTTTTGGCTCAAGCCAGAACAGAGAGCAACATACCAGGAGACTCTGTTTCCAGGTCCCTTCTAGAATCACTATTCCCAGTAGTACTTCAGCTGTGTTTTTTGCCTCCATGGAAAGACTTTTTTTTTAATAGTTTATTTTTGGGGCGCCTGGGTGGCTCAGCCGGTTGTGCGGCTGCCTTCAGCTCAGGTCATGATCCCGGGGGCCTGGCTCCCTGCTCATTGGGGAGTCTTCTCCCTCTCCCTCTGCCTGCCTCTCTGCCTATTTGTGCTCTCTCCCTCTCTCTATTAAATAAATAAAGTCTTAAAAAAAAAAAAAAGTTTAAGTAATCCCTACACCCAACCTGGGGCTCGAACTTGCAACCCTGAGATCAAGCATTGCGTGCTTTTCCTACTGAGCCAACGGGGTGCCCCCCACCATGGAAGGACATTTTAAAGAGTGTCCAAACGAGAATTGTTCCTGGTTCTGCTCATCAGAGCTTCCATTCCTAAGAACCCGGAGGGAGGTCTCTGGGGCTCAGAACTGAGACAATCTGGACTTACCGACACCTGGTGAGTTTCCAGATTGTAACTGAAAATGTTTTCCTCTTGGCTGTGGTTGCTGGAAAGCTCTGAGCCAAATCCCTCCACCATCAGCAAGCTTCCAGACCATGGGGCTGGGTGTCTCAGGGCTAATCTTTTCTTTCCTCCCTTCTTTCATTCAATCATCCAACAAACATTTGTCCTGGAGTGACTGTGCACCTTTCTAGGTTGGCGGGAGTTGACAGTGAACAAGACAGACGGAATGTCTGTCTTCATGGAGCTCGAAGTCAAGAAGGG